TAGGGGGAACTGCCTCTCCATCTATTGGCTGAGGCCTGATTACAGGGAAAGCAAAGGCAGGCTTTTCCTCATCAGAATCCCCTAATTTTGGTAAATCAGCCAAAGCTAGCTTGGCTTTACTCCAATTAGGGTTAGATGGAGGAGGTGCAGAGGGAACTACAGGCGGGTTCTGCTTAACGGAGAGTTGTTTCACCTCTTGTGTTAAATGCTGTATAGCCTGTAAAATTGGGCGATTGTCATAATTTGATATTGCTGCGGCAGCTAAAGCTGAGTCGGCTGTAGCGGATTTTACTTTTGGTTTGGACGCCTTTTCACTACTTAAAGCGATAGCGTCATTTTGAACTACATTCTGCTCCTCCTCTGTGAGGGGCAATTCCTGAATAACTGGCTTAATTTCTAGTTGAAGATTTTCTACAATATGTTCATCTTCCATAGCTTTTAATAAAGAGTACACAACCGACCAAATAGCCCAAAAACGTAAAGGAATCTTCTCCTCCTGTTGCATAGCCCTTTCTATACTAACCCTTGCCTTCCTCCATACTTCTACATCCAAAGTTCCTTCATCTGGAAACCAAGGATTATATTCTTTAATTGTATCAATACACATATCCAAGTCAGCTGACCTGAGCGATATGCCATATATAGATAATAAATGTTTAAGAATTTTTAAGAAAGGAGAGGAAGCAGATTGTCCCATTTCCCCGTAATAAAATTATACTTACCTTCCTAAGCGACCTTCGGAGTCCCTGAATTCGGGCGCCACTTGTCGTGAGTGTCTAGAGCACTCTGAACTCCGGGCAAGGTAAACACGCACGCCTTGTCGGGACACGGGGGGTACAGCGCTTGGAAAAGAAAGACAGGAGAGACACCTTTGCTGTCTGCACCGCGTTACACTGCACTGCACTGCACTGTACGCACAATCTTTATTTTAGGATTCATATATAGTAAACCCGATCAATTCACAGAGCCCAGATAATTAAGTAGTGAAAAGGCATTCTTTGTGGCAAGCTACAACGTGACAGACTACAATGTTTATTCTAAAACTATCTAAGTGAAGTAAATAATCACAACCAGTTCTCACAACTTCTCTAGCCCAGGAAGAAATTCATTAGCTCAAGAATGTTGTTAATTTGTCTGCTGTTAGTGTCACAAAGGGTGGCCAGCCACTTCCTCAAGACTTCTGCAAAACAAAGCCAGCTCACAGTATGGATTCCAGAGGGTGAGGGCTCACTGAGAACAGGCATTCCCGTTCTACCTCCTTCTCGCATACCAGGGCGGCTATTGTAAATTGCAGGTTAGAGGGGGTTGGGCCTACAAAGTGACACCTCATCCCCCACAGGTGTGGAAACAGTAAAGGGCACCGTGCAAGGTGTGCATGCTGAGGAGTGCGGCTCCTCCATTGCGTGTTCTGACGTGGAGAAGGAAGGGTCATGGCTGGGGAGAGCCGTCGGCAGACAGGGGCTCTGGCCTCACCCAGAGCCCAGAGCCTGAGGACACACAGCTCCTTCTGGACTCCCTGGGGGCTGTGGTGAGATGAGAAACGGGGGCTGAGGAGACCGTGGAACCGGCCACCTCCCTCTCAGAACGTGGAGAACAGCACCGTGGCCTAGGAGCTGCTCAGCTAGGAGAAGAGCGTGGGCGTGAGTGTGTGGACAGAAGCTTGCGAGGACAGACCAAGTCACTCAGTGACAGCCCCTCTGAAGACGATTCCTTACCAAGGCCTCTACCTATGCTGTAAGGCAAGTCCCCCTGTGAAACAGCCACGCTAAGAGCAGTACCCAGCAGGCAGCTGTGGAAAGAAGCCACCTGGCTTCACGGCCTGCGACCGTCACACGGCCTGAAAGCAGGGGTCAGGGTGGCCATGTGAGTTACTTGTCCCATTGCTCTGCACCCTGAGGCAGCTGGATGACAGGCCGGCTCCCTCCACCACATCTGCATTAACAGCGTGGGGCCCAGGGCTTACCCAGGGCAGGCCTGGCTTCGGTCTGCGGTAGAAGTGCAGCCCTCAGAGCTGCCCAGCTGCGGGCTGGAGAGACTCAGACCGGGACTGGGGTGGAGACTGAGGCCTGGACAGGGGTGTTCAGCTTTACTCCCCGCATGCTGAAGTAGGCAGGGGGTGAGGACAGAAGACCAAGTCTTTTAAGCATTTCCACTGGTGTCCACATACTCACCCACCTGTCTTCCATCCACCCTTCATCCCTCCACCCACCCACCACTCACCCACATGGCATCCACCCCTCACCCACCCATCCACCCATCCACCATCCACCCTGCGCGCATCCACCATCTCCCTACCCACCCGTCTACCCACATAAACACCTTTGTGGAACCTCTGTTGCTACTTTTCTGTGGAGAAAGCAGACCTGGGCTGTGTCTCTGCGTCCCCAGTCTTTCTCACCAAGGCTCATGTGTGGTTTGTCCATCACTTCCACTGAATGTCAGAACCCCTCTGTGACAGCAGTGTAGGGGGTGCTGGACCCTCTCCTACCACTCAGCCTCCAGGAACCCCAGCGCTCCCCACCTGCACTGGCTGCTTCTGCTCCTTACCTGTGGCCCTGCTGAGCTCTGTCCTCCAGGTTTCTCAGGAGTGGGGAATTTGTGCACAGCTGGGAGGTGCTGGGAGCTGAGTCCCACCAGTGGAGATGGCCAACCGTGGCTGCAGACTGTTTCTATCATGTGCAGTGTGGTGCATGTGTAAACTGTGGCCTGGTGCACACAATGCTACATCAACAGCCTGGCAGACAGCTTCGTTACAGCCATGTGAGTGTGCCCTGGCGTTCTCGGTGCTAGTGAATCTGTTAAAATGCCACTGCTGCCTGCTGAGTGGAAGCCAGTCTGCTCACTGCTCTGGAGGGAAACTCAAGCCTCAGCCCAAAGGGCCTGTGCCCTCCTGGGGGCTGTGTTGCTCTGTAGCCACAGGGCCCAAGGCCCGCAGTAGGAAAGAGGCCTGGGCAGAGTAGGTGGGCAACTGGAGAATGGAGGCACGGTCCTGGGACCCGAAGCTGGGCTGGACTGTTTCCTGACTTGTCTGTCTGGAACCCACAGGGAACATAGCTGCCTAAAGGGACAGAGGGTGGGCACATGCTGCCCCTCTTGTGCCAGGCACACTTGGCCTGCAGAGGGAAGAGGCAGCCACTAGCGGGTTCAGTCTGCTGGGTCTGTAGCCTGGGCAGGAGCCCTAAGCTGACTGTGGTCAGTGTGTGGTTTCCATGGGACCAGGTACACCTCAGGAAAAGTCTCCCATGGGGCACGGCACCTGCTGGCTCTGGTCAGGGCCAGGTGCTAGATCCATGTCTGGCATAAAGAGCTTCCAGCAGCAGCAATCACTGCAGAGAAAATCTGTAGGATCTGAGGTTGTCTGTTACTATCTCAAAGGCCAGCAACCCAGGAGCCTGACAAGAGAATTGGCCTCTATCCCAGCCTTGTCCCACCCTGGGGCAACTGGGAGCCTTGGCCTTCCTTAACCTCACCCAACTGCCTTGGCCTTCCCAAACCTCACCCAACTGCCACCTCACCCAACTGTCCAATGTGGCTGGAGCAGGTCACAGAGGAGCTGGAGATGGTGAAAAGCCACGAGAAAAGGGAGGCTTGCGACCGGCTAGGTGCCCAGCACAGGCTGTGGGCTCCAAAGCACATAGAGCAGTTCGGGCCAGGCCTCCTGGAAGGCTCCACCCAGCAGGGCAGCAGGAAGAATGGGTCTCCAGACACCAATGGACAAGAGTGGCAGAAATGCGCCCATCCTCCAAGTCCTCAGCACGGGACAAGGCCTGGCCTACAGCGTTCTGCTGGCTCCCCGAGGCTGGAGCTGTTTACCAGTCTGGTCCCCATGCCCAAGCTTTTACCAGTGCTGTGTCTGGTGGGGTCCACAGGGGCAGCAGTGGGGCTATAAGTGCCAGAGCCACTGCCTCCCAAGAGGAGCCAGGAGCTTGGGTGCTCAGCTGACCTAGGCCGACCTCAGCCCTGACCCATCAACCCATCACTGGGGTGGAGGCCTGGGCTTGGGGCCAAGAGAGCACTGGTAGGTGCATGATGCTCAAGATGGGGATGCAGGAGTGGGCACCCCAGAAAACACCGACTGCACCCTCAGGTCAGCTCCAGGCGCTGACTGTATCTCCACAGAGTGCCAGGACCCCTGCTGTCGGGCCCAGCAGGTCACTCAGCAGCTTGTGGTGAATTTGGGTTCTGTCCACTGAGATCAATTTGATTGGGTGTGGTGGCCTCCCTAATGCATGGTCACGGTCAGCAACAAGGATCCCAGTGCCCTCAAGTTTCCTCAGAGGGCAAGAGAGCCTGACCCTGAAGACCCTTGATCCCAGAAAGCAAGATGCAGCCCCGTTTCAGCCTCCCTCCTCCACCCTTGGCTGCCCTTGCAGGGTCCCTAGTTTCCAGCCTGGTGATGCTGGGTATAGCCCAGGCCACTGGTCCTGGGCAGAACACGTGGACCCCGCTGTTCCTGAACCGGAGGCCGCAGCACCTGCTGATTGTGTCCCACGCTGGGGGAGTGCAGGGCTGGGGTCTGGTCTGGACAGTGCCTGCTCCTACATCCTTGTCCTGGGCATTGCACCCCACGAACCCCTTCTGGGCCCTGAGCCCAGGCCAGCGATGGGGCTGATGGGTCAGGGCTGAGGTTGGGCGAGGTCAGCTGAGCACTGGCACTCTTGGTTCCTTCTAGAGGCCGCAGCTCTAGCACTCACGGTGGCTTCTTCCTCCTCGGGTGGAAAGTGCCACCTTCTGGCACAGGGTAGGCTGCCCACCCTGCACAGTCGGCACAGGGCCCACAGGTCTGTCCTTGCAGCTGGTGTCAGCCAGGCCAAAAGCCCTCGTGACCTGCAGCTGCAGCAGAAGCCGGGGCATCATCCTGAAGCCACTGCAAGAGGACCCAGACGATGGCAGCGGGTGGTCACGGGTGCCTGTCCCCACCTGTGCTTGCATGCGGAGCTGAGTTTGGTTCCAGCTGACAGCAGGGTGTTTGTGACCATATCAAACACACAGCCAGAGAGTTTCTGGAAGCTTTATATAAAGACTTCCCAGGTTGAGAATTTAATAATTTCTTATATTGATATTAACAGTATTTACACTTGCAGCTTTTGAAAACAAACCCAAAAATCTTCTTACATTTCTGCATAACAGAATAAGGCAAAAACCAAAGTTCTGTACATTATTCATTGTTATTTTAATATAGATCTGTGACTGCAGTTCCAAGGACCAAGGGAGGGCAGAGCCGGGCTAGCGGCCTCACAGTGCGTGGACGGAAAGGCCGTCCGTCTTCTCTCCATAAATAAGACGAGACCTGGGGCTAGAAAGGGGGCCGAGTCCAGTAAATCCCAACCCCAACTACAAATTATTTTTTGGCTGAATGTCTGAAGAGCACAAAATTAACAAAAGTACAAAACCATTAAAAACGCTTCTCACCTGTGGGGAAAATACAAAGTAGGGGTTTCCCGGCCCATCTCCAGCCCGGCACGCCCGCAGCCGAGTCCACTGGGCGCTACCGGGCCTCCACCTCGTGCGGGTTGCATGCTGGGTACTCGAGGGGCTCCCCCGGCACCAGCGGTGCAGGCCGGGGCCGCGTGGGGACCCCGGACGCGGCCACCAGTGGGGGTGGCGCGTGCAGTGCAAGGCCATGGTCGCGGCCCAGGCCCGGCCCCGCGGCCTCTTCCCCGAGCTCCTCCTTCACCTTCACAACGGTGGCGCTGGGCGCGAGCTCGCGGCCCAGCCTCCCGGGCAGGCGCAGGCTGTCGCCCAGGGCCGCCCGGCTGCAGGGTGATGGTGGGCGCGCGGCCAGCATGGCGCCGTCCTCCTGCACCTGCACGGGTGAGCAGGGGTCCTTGACTCGGGACTCGGGTGCGTGCAGAAGCAGGGCGTGCGTCACCGGGGGCCGAGGCAGGCGAGTCTTCTCCAGGAGGTCCCTACAGGGGTACGGAGGTCGGCATTTGCTCTGTCTGACCTGTGTGAGGGGACCTTTTGGCACCCTGGGACCCCTTCATGCCAGGCCCTGACTGTTCAGTGTGCAGGCAACAGTGCGCCACCCTAAGGAGGCCCCGTGAGGAGCTGGTGGCTTCAGGCTCTCACAGCCCAGAGCGCCTGTGCTCCTTTTCCTCCTCCACCTGGATCCTCAGAGACATGAGCAGCTGCTGCTCTGGACAGGCCTGGCCCTCAGCTTGGGATCTCCACCACTCCACCTATGCATGGGCTCGCCCTGCCAGCCAGGTAGACCAGCATAAGGCCCCTTCCTGGGGTTCTCCTGGCCTGTGCACCCCCACCACCCTTCACTCCCGGGAACCCTGTGAGTTCAGGATTCAGGAAAGTGGAGAGGGTGTGGGGTGAGCCCAGGGCCGCTGGGCCTTCTGGCTGTGAGTGGGTCTATGCTGTGTGGTCTGTACCTCTTACCCGAAGGCCACACAGACCAAGGGGAGCCGGGAGTGGGGGCGTCAGCTCAGCCCCCAGGCAGCAGACCCTCCTGGCTGCTTCCCCAAGCCTCAGGGAGGGGAGTCATTTGTTCCATTCATGGAACTGGACCAGGGTCTGCCCCTGGGCACCCTGGACCCCAAGCCCAAGCCATCTGCCCATGCCCCAGGGTGGGGTCTTCCCACCTTCACCCCACTCTGGAGAGATGTGCTCTGGGCAGAGCTCAGGGGACCTAGGAGAGCCCCAGCTTCACTGAGGCTGCAGTGGGGGTGAGGTGCAGAGGGGGAAGGTAGATAGGAGGGGTGGGGCCACAGGGGAGGAGGGCCTCAAGGACAAGGGAGGGGACCACTCACCTCTCGAACTCCTCATGGCCTGGCTCCAGCTCTTGGGGCTCCCGAGCGTGGCTGCTCAGCTTATCAGTGGGTGTGGGCCATGGGGGTGGCGTGGGGAAGGAGGATGGCGCTCGGTGCAGCCGGCTCCATGCCTCGTGAGGGCTGGGCAGGCCGTGCAGTGGGGAGCCCTCCTTGGGGGTGAAGATGCTGCCCCCCGGAGCTGGTGAGGGGGCATGGGTCAGTAGCCAGGCCTCTCAAAGCCACCCTGTCCTGGCCCGGGGACCCAGCTGGCATCACTCACCCAGTGTGTGGCTGCCCAGCCCTCCGAAGGCATGGCTGCCCAGGCTGCCCAGTCCCCCGAAGGTGCCAGATCTGCTGAAGGGGTCTATAGGGAACAGGAGTCAGATCTGTGGCTGGGTTGGGTCCCCTGACCCTGCTTGACTCCAGCTTGAAGGTGCTGACAGACCTTGCCACCCTCAGGGGACCCACCTGTCAGGTGAGCAGCAGGCAGGAAGCTGGCATGATGGGCAGAGGGTCCCAACGGGTGTGCAGCAGGGTGGGCAGTACCTGGGGAGGGCAGCCAGGTTGGCAGTGGTTTGGGAGCCACCAGGCGTCCTGCAGCATGCCAGGAGCTGTGGCCTCCTGCCTCCCCCTTAACCCAACTGTAGCGTGAGGGTGACGCAAAGCCAGTCCTGGATCTGAAGGGTACGTGACCTTTGGTGCAGCTGTAGCCCCCTCGACCCCAAGGACCCTGGGTGTGGTGGTGGCAGCAGGGAGCCCCAGAGAAGAGAAAAGGGCGAGTAGGAACTCGCCTTGGTTGGGGCACTGCCCACTGTGAGAGCTACCTTGGGCAGGGTTGGGTCTTGGCCAGTACCAGCTTGAGCTTTGGGTATGGAATCCACAGCCCCTGCATGGACTCCCTGCACACAGCACCAGCTCAGGAGGGGACTTTGGCATCTTCCCTGCACCCCAACAACCCACCAGGCCTCCAGAACCAAATATGAAAACCATGCCCACTGGGCTGGGCAGGGATGTGGAGGTGCATTGGGTGCTGTGGCTGGTCGGGCTCAGGCTGCTTGCGGTGGGTGGGAGCAACATTCAGAGCTTTTAGTCTGCAGTGAAACCCCAACAAGATAGCCAGCCCACAGAAAGCAGCTGCAGGGCATGAAGACAGTACCCAGCAAAGCCCGCGTGCCCCAGCATGGCCCGGAGTCCCTGAGCTCAATCCTTCCTATCCAAGTGCCTGAGGTGCAAGGTCCCCCCACTGGGATCGGGTTCTGGGCATCTCCTGCTGCCATACTTCACTAAGAGTCACACCTGCTGCCACAGGCCACGCCGCGTCCCTGACTGCTCTGTGTTCTGTTCCTTTGGGATCAGAACGGCCCCTCCCATGAGGCACCCCCGGAGGTCTCCACCTGTCTGGGGGGTTCAGGGCTCTGGGAAGAACCTCAGTCAGGGGCTGCCCAGGGCTCACCTGTGCCAGGGAACAGGGGCCGAGCCAGGTCCTGTGGGTAGTGGGCCCCGGAGACCACGCCTGGAGCGGGGAGCCTGCTGGACAGGTCCAGCTTCACACCCACCTCCAGCTTGTGGGGGTCCAGCTGCAGCTGCGGAAGACAGGGTGTGGGGGGCGGCCACCAGCCCAGCACTGTTTCCCACCCCGCTCCCCTGGGCTGGTGACCACCCCTGCATGGGCAACATCTGGTTGCACCTCAGCTGTGCGAATTCAGTGCAGCGTGTCAGACTGCACTGTTCCAGGGAGCTCCATGTGTCCAAGGGCAGCACGGAACTGTTTTGGAAGCTGAATTTATTAAAGTTAAGCAAAATGGAGCTGCCTGCCTCTCAGACTTGCTGGGCACCACAGTGGACAGAAGGGTGGGAGCTGGGACAGGGACTGGATCAACCATTCCCAGGCTCTATGCAGTTCAGCCTAGCCTCTCACCCACTATGGAGCCTGGCTGGCCTTGAGCTCACAGAGATCCTCCTGCCTCAGCCTCCAGGGATTATGGGGGCAAAGTACCATGCCTGGATTGTCTGTGTTTTTGAGATAGGATTTCATTATGCAGTTCAGGCTGCCTTGAACGCACTGTGTAGTGCAGAGCTCTGATCTGATCTGCAGTCTAGAACTCTGATCTTCCTGCCTCAGCCTAAGTGCTGGAGTCACAGGTGGGCCTAAGGCCCACCCTGCCAGTCACCAAGAGGGACTAGGTGCTGTGGCTGAAGATAGCAGGAGGGCTGGGCAGGCCTGTATGCCTGTGGTCACCTGTGCTGCTCCCTGCTGTGGGGTGTGACTGCACCCCAGCCTTCACCATGCAGCCAGGCACAGCCCAGACACTGTAGCCCTCCGCTCTACAGAAATCACACTGCAGTAACGGCCCCGTTCTAGCCTCTGAGGGAGCACCTCCACTTTGCTGTCTCTTGAGGGCCACCCAGGCATCTGTGTCACCCGGGGGGCTGCTGGGGATTCAACTTCCCCCTCCAAGTGGGGAGGAGCAAGAGCCTCTGGAATGACAGCGCCACGTGCCATGTGAGTGTGGGACCCGCAGGCTATCCCGGCCCCTAGGACCCCCACACCTGCACACACTCCAGATCTGCCTCACCTTCACCTTGCGCTGGTGGTGGAGGATCTGCCAGGCGATCTGCACGTGCACTGCACACCATTTCCCTGGCTTCTACGGGACAAGGAGAGCTCAGAGGACCCTGTCAAGGCACCTGGGCTGCCAGGGTGTCCACCTGTGCCCACACTCACCCTGGCCGCTGTCCGGTATGGGTCAGTCACCTGTGGGGACAGAGCAGAGGGCGATGATGGCCGGCTCTGCACGCCAGGAGCAGGATAGGACAGCATCCAAACTGACGCTGCCCCCCGGAAGGTGTGAGCGGCGCTGACACCTACCCCGGGGGCTTTCTGCAGGAGGGCGTGGACCGTACTGGCTCGGCCCTGGACCTGAATTGGGTTTGTGGTCTGGAGTAGGAGGGGGAGAGAGGAGTGTGTGACCAAGAGGAGGCCCTGCCTGGGCAGTCACCACAGCCCTGTCCAGGGTCTGCACCAGGGAAAGAGCTGAGGCACAGGGCACCCAATCAGGGACCATCTGGGCCCAGTCAGGCCCACACTGCAGGCAGCAGCTGCCGTGTGGACAGCGGAGCACACACAGCAGAGGCCAGGCCTGGCTCCCTGACCCTTGTGCCCAGTGCCATGCTCCTCTGGCTCCTTCTCTCATGGGGAAAGTGGTGGCTGCGCCCTCCACACCCAACATCCTGCTGTAGGGCACCAGCACCTCAGGTCCCTAGGACTGGGTCCTAGGAACCCTTTCTGCCCATCTGTGACAGTGTGACCAGCTCAGGGGCTCTTCAGAGTTGGGGGCCTCAGGAGGCCTGGTTACCTCAGGCACTGAGGCAGCTGGGAACAGCAGGTGGGGGTCACTGGGACCAGACACTGGTGTCCCTTCCCCAGTGATCAGTTTCACCAGACTGTGTGAAACCTGGCTGTCCAAGGGATGGCTCAGTGCGTCCCTGGCCTGGTCAGAGGAGGCTCAGAACCTCCTGCGACATGGCTGGCCGAGGCCAAACACCTTTGTAGCAGGGCTGAAGCCCATAGGCAGTGGGCCTGAGCAGGAGGCCCTTCTCTGCAGGCCGCCGCCCTTTGTCAGGGACACTTCTGGTCCAGAACCCCCTCACCCCAATAACCCCTGCCTAGCACAGTGGGTACCTTGGGCTGGAAAGCGCCCTGCAGGGACCCAAGGGGGCTGGCATGTGCAAGCAGGGTGGGCAGCCCTGGAACAGCAGATGGGATGGCTGGGAAGAGCTGGAAGAGAAAGAGAGGTGCTGGTCCTTGGAGTCCCTAGGGTGGCCCCACCCCCGGGCCGCACTCAGGGACTCACGTTGGAATGTCGGAAGTAGGGGCTGTCCAGCTTGGCTGAGAACTTGTCAAACTACAAAGGAAGGAAGAGAAGCCATGCTTCCCATATCCAGCACCCACATGGGCCTGGCACCTGTCCCCGCTGGCCAGAAGGGAAATGGGTAGGGCCTCCGGTGCCTCCCAGGACGGGCAGCACACGGTGGCCATGTCCAGGTTCCTGGAGCATCCAGAGGAGCCCCAGTGAAGGCTTAAAATGCTGTTTAGGGGCAAGTGGGGGAGGCCCAGGCTTCGGTCATCTGGGACTTGTGCCCAAGTGGCAGCTGCTCCTGAGACAGGGAGCACTGGCACCACCCGGGGGCCCTAGTCCTCTCCAGGCCTGCAGACCCAGAGTCCTGACACAGCCAGATGTTGAGGACTGGTGTGGCGTGGCTCTGGGGCAGGTCACATGCATCTGGACAGCCAGGACAGCAGTCTGGGATGGCCCTCAGGGCTAGTCTCCAGGGGAGAGATGCCAGACCCAGGTGGAGTCCACAGGCAGAGAGACAGAGGGAGATGATGCCCACCCCTGCCCAAGTGTGCGGCCTGTGTGTGCCTGCCCCCCACCAGCACGCGGGCCTACGCACCGGTGGGGGTGCGGCAGGTGGCACGAGTGGCGCCGGGGGCAGCCCTGGGAAGGGGGCGAATGTGTGTTGGTGCTGGTGTGTGTGCTGGTGAGTGTGCTGGTGAGTGTGCTGGTGGAACTCGGCCCGCAGCAGAGCCCCCGGGCCCAGGGGGGCGCCCGGCCGTTCCGTGCTCTGCACCAGAAACCGCGTGTTCAGCTCTTGCCTGAGCAGCTCCTGATCTACGAGAGAAAAGAGAGAGAGACAGAGAGGCACGTCGGCCACGGGCTCCCGCGGGGCGAGGCGGATAGTCACCTGGCACTTGCGGCTTCGGGAGGCCAGGCCTTGGGGGCCACTCGCCAGGTGTGGGCCGGGGGATGGAGGGAAGAGAGGAGCCTGTGACCAAGTACCAATCAGAATCCCCGCATGAGGCTGGCAATACATGATTGGCTGGCTGAGGGAGAGCCACAGGCTGGCATCTGGAGGTGAGAGAGAAGCCGTGAGCCCACCACTGGCCCCATCCAGGGTGCCCTGTCTCATGTGGACACCGGCTGACTCCATTCCACAAAGCCCGTCGAAGCCCAAGGAGGACTCCCTGGGACCACGTCTAGGACAGCTGGGGAGACAGGCAAGGGGCTCTGTCATCTGGACCCTCCATACCTGACATAGTGCCACAGAAGGGACAGGGACAGTGCTGGCTGGGGTCCAGGAGAGCAAGGAGGGAGGGGCCACATGAAACGGGCCAGCCAAGGCTCCAGGATCACCTACCTGCAGGGTGTCCTGGGACCACCAAGCTGCCAGGCAGTGCTGAGGCTGGGGGCAGTGTGGGCGTGGCAAACATGGTCGCGGGGTGCTGGTGCACCTGGCCTCGGAGCGCCAGGTGTGAGGTAGAGAGGTGGGGGCTTGGCCCCGACAGCGACAGCGACCCGTGCTTCCCCAGGCCCAGCGAGGTGCTGCTGCTTGCAATGCTGCTCCTGTTGGGGAAGCAGGATTCAGTGCCACCAGCTGCGGAGGTCCCTGTCCCTACCCCCTGCCCAGCCGGCCCGTCCAAGATGGCACTAGGCCCCAGTCCACCCAGGCCTGCAGGCCCCACCATGAGACTGGTGCTGCCCCTAAAACCATGCTCGCAGACAGGAGGCCCCACTACTCCGCCTAGCCATAGCCACGCCTCCAACAGCGCAGGCCCCGCCCACAGCTCTGCCCCATCCCGTCCCTCGCACCTGAGGCAGGGCAGGTGCAGGCCCGTGGTGGGTGCTGTCTGGCCGGGGCCTGCGAAGGCGCCCAGGGGCGCAGACTCCCGCGTCTGCGTCTGTGTAGTCTGTGTGGGCAGCGGGACCGTGAGCGGAGGGGCGTGGCACAGCCCCGGCTCAGTTCTCAGCAGCGGGATGGTGCAGGCCCCAGGCGGTGCGGTGGGCAGGGTGCCCGCGGGCAAGAAGGGTTCAGTGCTGAGCTCACGGCTGCGTTCCAGGCCAGACACTTTGGGGGCCGCCCCGGTCTTGGCCTCCAACCCTTCGCCTGGTGTGGCACCTGCAGAGTGTGGGCGTGGGCTGGGCTGTGTGGCACCAGGACTGCCTTATCTCCTGGATCTGGAGGTCCAGGTGCAGGCCTGCCCACACTCTGGGCAACTACTGGCCCTCAGTCACCCCGTTCCAGATGGGCAAGGAGGTGTAGAGGTCATGTCCTCAACCACACCTGGAGGGGCAGCTGGTTTCCACAGGTGGAGTGACCCACCCCACTACCACCCAGGACCCCTTTTCATCACCTGGTCCACTCCTCCCCCGGCTGCTTGTGCCACCTGTCCTTCTGGAGCCCTGGTGGCCAGTGTTTGGGGAGGCTGCTCTGGGATCCTTACCCATTGCCCTGGGCTACCAGTCCATCCTCAGGATGACCAGATGCCCAAGACCTGGAAGCTGGCTATATGGTGCTCACCTGTGTCAGCCGCTGGGGCAAAGAGCAGCTCCGAGCCCACAGATGCCTGAGGAAAGAAAAGGTTCAGGGACCAGGGCCGGAGTGAGCTGGCCCTCAGAGCCCCTGCTGCACCACAAATCCCGAGCAGGTCCCCACCCCGACCAGTACACTGCACGGGTATGGGAGGCAGCTGGTCAGGAGGGGAGAGGACCTGGCCGGCGGGCGTGAGACACAGTCACTCTCTCCACACCCACGTGTGGCAGTTTGCTCTGGGGTGTAGTGACTGGCCAGGGACCACTCAGGGGTGAGCCCACCACATGACAGATAGGAGCTGCGTGACAGAGATGTCTTCATGACACCTGGAGAAACACACGGCGTGTGTACTGGTGTTCACTGTGCTCTGTGGGACCCATGGTAGCTCTGGAGAACAAGCTTGGTGATGGTGGCCCCAGATGGAACTTTGCTTTCCAGTCTTTTTCCCTTTCTGTTAAGAAGCAGCACTGGGGCAGGGACTGCATGTGTGCCTCAAAATACACCCACAGAACCCCGGCCCTAACCCGTGTCCTCCATGCCCTGCCAGGGCACAGCCGCCTTCTCCAAGCGCAGGCTCTCTGGAGCCCCGGCTCTGGCGTTCCCAGGCTCCACACAGTGGGAACAAGTGTGACCGGGCTCTAGCACTTTACTCTAGCAGCCCAGGGCCCAGAGATGTGGCTCACAGATGCCACATGGAGACTTTGGAGCCTTGCAGAGCAGCACACCCTTTGCTGGGATCACAGAACTTTTTCATCGCCCCAGAAAGACTCTGGTCATTGGGCTTTCACCTCCAGCCCTCCCCCTCCCCCAGGGCTAGGTGTCTGTGCCTCACGCAGCAGGGCCGTGTGGCCGGCTCTGGCACCGAGTTCCACCCTTTGACAGGGAGTCCCCTGGCCACTTTTGTGCTTATCCATGTTGAGACATCCCTGTTCACATGCCTGTGTGGGACCATGTGGTGAAGTGCATGTGTGCACCTAAGTGTGCAGAGTATTGGGTACACGAAACGCACACCTGTGTCTGTGTCAGCAAACCTTAGGGAGGGTATAGAGGATATGTGCTCAGCTGGGGACAGCAGCTGCCCCAGGGACAGGGAGGAATGTGGGGGACTGATGAGGATGGGACTTCAGAGACTCAGCTTCACCTCTCCAAAGTCTTTTACAGAAGGAGTCATCACTCACATGGTTGAACCATGATAACAAGAGTAGTACACGGCCTGAGAGGGAATGGTGAGGACTGCCTGGGTGTGGGCAGGGAGGGATGGGCTGGGTGTGAAGGGCATGGGAGATGGAGGGACAGTCCTTGCTAGGTCAGAGGAGGGCCTGAAGGCCGGGAAGGGCACCTCGCCCAGGAGCTGCACATGAAGATGCCTGCTGGCCACCAATCCCATCCCACCTGGACAGGACAGCTCTCCAGCCTGAGGGAGGCCAGGCTCCTGCTTTGCCCAAGGCTTGGCAGGGGCGGCAGAGGTGCAGGGTCTGTGGCTTCCAGCATCCACCAACAGGCAGAGCAGAGTGCTCAGCCATACCCTGGGTCACCACAGGCCACCTCGGCATGGCTGGTGTCCAGCCATGCTGCACACTGCCCCTGCACCCCGGGAAGCCAGGCCCCACAGCAGGTGCCACAGGCCCTGCAGCAGCCATCTGCTGGGCAGAGGGAGTGCACAGCCCATCCAACAGGGGCATCTCACAGCACAAGGGCTACAGTGCGGAAACCAACAAGAGATGCAAGGTTCCAGCATGGGGAGGCAAGTGGAATAAAACAAGAACCCAAGGACACCTGGCCCGGGAAAGGTCTCCGCATGTGGTGAGCGGACGTGTGTGTAGGGGTCCAGTGCACGGTGTGAAAGCAGCTTTATGCTCAGAAAAGGGAAGGTGGCTCACACCTGCAATCTTAGCTAACTGGAATGCTGAGGCAGGAGGACCCCAGGTTTAAGGACAGACTTCATGTCAGAATAAAAAGAAGCCCAGAATGTGGCTCAGTGTTACAATACCCCTAGGTTCTACCCACAGTACTATACACGGAAAAGGGGAAGTGAAATTCCCGGTTCATCCCCTGTATCAACCATCCCAGACAGGAGCCAGACGCATATGAACCACCTAGGCAGCATGATTGGGTGCTTCACAACCTGCTGGAATAGGGCCCTTTCGGCACCTCAAACACCTGCTGAGGGGCAGGGCATGCAGAGCCACAGGAGGGGCCAGGATCTGTGACACAGAAGAGATTGTTTTCTGCTCTGACTGAAAGGCTGCTGTGCAGAGCATGCTCAGCAGAGGCAGGGAGACACTCCTGTTGCCCAACCTCAGGACCCTAGCCCCCTAGTGTCCTCCAGCATAGGCTGCAGGCTCCTGATCTTACCTGTGTCCCTGTAGGTGAGGGGTCTGCCTAGCCAGCTCTGAAATCAGGGTGTGCAACCGCTGCTTCAGGGAGGGGCTTTCGCCTCAGAGCAGCTCAGCTCCTGGCCCCTCCAAGGGTCTCCAGTTAGTGCCACCCAGGCCTGGGAGTCCCTGGGTCACATCACACATGTGAGGGTGTGTCTGCCTGGTCCTCAGAACCAGACAGCTGTGCACCAGGACAGGGACCCCAGGCACCCTGCCAGCTGACCTTCCTCGAGGCCCTGGGAGGTGTGTGGTCACCTCCTCTGGGGATCAGGCTACATGCCTGAGTGTCAGTCCCTGCTCCCTTGGTGCCCCTCTGGCTTGTTTCTTCATTCCTGAGAATCGACTCGGAGCAGTGCACCCACGGACCCAGGTTGCTCCTGGCCCCACACCAGATCCTGCACTCAGGGCTGTCATGGTCTCCACTGGGATCCTGACCCCTGCTCCTGTATTGGAGGGCACCTGTCCTTTTCGCGGCCAGGCTGCCTCTTCTGTGGCTGGGCAGCAGTCCTGGGAGGACGGTGGGACGCCGCGGCCAGCTGGAAGCCCCTGTCAGTGGCCGTAGTGTGCCAGCTGCACCTGCCAAGTAGCCCAGCGTGTGGTGGTCTCACAGCAGGAATTCTGGGCTGCAGCACAGTGCTGACTGCTCCAGCGCCTCAGAGGTCCCAGCACCACAGCCTCCCAAGGAGCAGCGTGGTGCCAGGGGAGCAGGGGATGCGGGAGACGAAGCCAGGGCAGTAAGACTGCAGCCCCACAATACACAGGGGAACAGAAGGCAGCTGGGGGCAGGCTGAGCAGCGGGGTGGCCAGGTGCAGGGGGCTGTGGCCTTTGAGGCTCCGTCCTGCCTCCAGGACCCACACAGGGGATCGAAGCTCAATTTCTCGGGTGCAGCTGCGGGTGCCCAAGACCCGGAGATGGCGTCCCAGAATACAGAGAGGCCAACGGGGCGCAGGGAGGGCTTGAGGTGCAGAGGGACAGGCACTGCCTGGGTCCCCCACCCGGCTCTCCCGCGGCCCCGCCCCCAGCCCCGCCCCACCGCAGAGCCGGCGCCTGAGTCCCGGTCCCCGCAGGCGTCCCGGGCAGGACCTGCGGGACACTGGGTCGCTCCGTCAAGGAGGCGCCCTGGACGCAGCCCGTCCCGTCGCCGGCACCGACGCGCGCCCCTGCCCGACCCACCCGGCAACTTCCCCGCCTTGGCCGCCAGCCGAGATCCCGGGCGCGGGCGAGGACCCCACACGAGGCAGGGTCCTGGCGCTTCATTCGAGGCCCGGACCGCGGCGGCTCCGCCTCGGACAAAGAACTCAACTCCTCGGCAGGTGAGCGCAGCGCGGGGCGCAGACAAAGGCGCGACTCCCACGGCTCGCGCCCGCCGCTTGCGCCCCTCCTGCCCGGCCCCCGGAACCCCGCTCCCCGCCCGGTCCGAGCGCGCACCGACCTCGCGGGCGCGTGGGTCCCGCCGCTCGCAGTGCTCGCCGCGCCCTGCTCGGCCCGCCCGGCGGGCCCGGCGGACCAGGGGCGGGGCCGGCGGGCGGGGCGCGGGCAGGCCCGACAAATCCAGCCCTGAGGCTCGGATGCGCAGGCTGCGACACCCCCTTCCAGGTGCAGCCCAGGGCGGCACTCCGCAATCCTCAGGGCGACAGGTTGGCGACGACTGATAACGCCTGCCAGGTGAGATGCTAAGCTCTTTCGCTCTGAGTTACCAAATGCATAAACTCTTTAGTAACGCTAAACACAAAACGGCTCCCCAAAGTTGCTGTTTGCTGCTCAGCGCTGTGCGAGGAGCCACACACGCAGCTGGTGTCTGGCAGAGCCGCACCTGGGGTAGCTCTGGCTGCAGGCCCAGGCCCAGCTCGGCCGTGCTCCTCCCAGCAGGCACTGGGCCTCTGCAGGGGGACCTGCCGACCTGGATGAGACTCCGCCGGCTATGGATGGCTGCCATGGCTGCTGGGAGTGTCCCGAGGGCCAGGAGGTGCTCCAGCGCCAGGCCTGCGTCGGAGGCTGCACTCTGTGCACTCCGCCCTGCCCTGTAGGAGCCCTGTTAGGGGCACAGGAAGCATCTGGGGGAGACTGCAGTGGTCAGAGACCACCGATTCGGGGACAGATCTAGCCCTGGCAAGTTCTCCACACCATGATGCCCCTCCTCAAGCCCCATGTGCCTGCAAATCTACACCATAGAGAAGGGGATAAGTTTAACACACCTGGGTCTCATTTGCCACTGTCTCTCCTGAGCCCCCGGGCACTGGTCCTGGAGAGGTTGGGGACAGCCATACCTGGGTGCAGAGGTCACACCACAGGGACTAGCTGTGCGGTCTGGCAGTGACAGTGACATCTATTGTGCAAGAATTGGGGGACATCATCCTGTGTCCACAGGATCCTGTGTAGCAGTGGGCTGTGATCTCTGGACTGGTAGAGGTTGGGCACTGTAGGGTACATGACAGCCCCAGCTCGAGAGAAGCTGTGTCCACTATGGAGTTCAGTACTGAGAAGCAGGGCCGTGTCAACCAGAACTGCTGACCAAAGGGCCAGTGTGACACTGGAGGTCACTCATGGCTCATGGTTGTCCAGCTGCCCTCCCTATGTCTGCGTAGCAGCTCTGACCAGACCCCAACACAGGAGAAATCCTGGGAGCCCTACGGGACAGGCATACAACTGAGCTCTGGGGAGAAGGGTGGTCAGACACTGGTCCGAGGGCCTTCAAGGCCACCCTATGGCAGTCCCCAGCTAGTGCTGCATATGTTGGAAAAGGCAGGGTAGCCTGTGGCCCTGAATCCATGTCCACCCAAACCTAGACTGTGGTCTTGTTTGGAAAAGGGTCTTTGTAAACATAAGTCAAGGAGACTGGTGTCCAGCGTATCCAGCCAAGGACCTGGAGTCACCAGGAGCTGCTCCCATGCCCCAGCCTTAGAGGGACATGGCCTAAAGCATCCAGAGTTGGGACTTCGGGTGCTCAGTGTGTCCAGTCAGCTGTCCATCACAGCAGCCACAGGACACTGAGAGCCACACACCTGCTGCTGTTGCCTGTCAATGTGTGCAAAACACTGAGCAGCGATGGAAATGCCATCCCACCATCTATGCAGGGAAGCGCAATACCCTCTGTCCTTTCTCCAGGTCAGGAGACAGACTGGGGAAGTCTGGAAGCCCAAGGTGGCCTCCTGCCTGGCTCAGCCTCAGAGCTAAGGGCTCAGAGCATGGGAAGGTCCAGCTTAGCCGCTGCCATAAACCTGCTCTTTGGAGCACTCCCATCCCGACGGCAGTCTTGTGGCCCCATGAGCCCAGTGAGGGCACTGGTCGTCTCCCCAGCTGTCCAGAGCAGATGCGTGCAGGGGCAGCCCCACAGCCCAAGCTCTCTCCTCTCCCACTGCCCCTCCCAGGAGGTGACACACTGGAGCCCGGTGTGTGCTGGGCATGTGGGGTTGGACAGCTGTGTTCAGGGAGGAGGCTGGGGGGTGGTGTGCACTAGGGCCTGCACTTGTTGGCCCCTCCTGTCCCATTAGGGTCTTTTCCAGGGGGCCTGGTGCTTCTCTGAAGACCCTGCAACTGCCACCAAAGTCAGTGGGCTGTGGGGCTGGGTGTTGTGGCCAGTGCTGTGACCCTCAGGGGTGAGCACCAGGAAACAGGCCAGATAGTGGGGGCCAGGCTTGTCATCTGCTCACTTGGTGGCCGTGCCCCAGAGATAGAGAAAGACCCACATGGGGCCGGGTGGCCTGGACCTGGGTCCTGTGTGCGTTGCTAGAATGACTCAGTTCTATGGGTCTCAACTACAATAGGTGCTCAGGAAATGCCAGCTCCTATCACCCACATTTGGAGAATGGGGCCAGGGCCCCTCCCAGGACACCCCTCACTTCAAGGAGGCCCTCGGGGTCTCTGTCAGGGGCATACAGCACTCGCACCCCACCTAGCCTTCTCCATCCTTGCCTACCAGGGCTAGGACTGCAGTGCCAGCTGGGTGCCACCTGGGGTCATCCCCTGGGCTGCTGCTCAGGACACTCCTCAGCCACCTTGACCTCCCCACTCTGTGGGTGCCTAGGGGTAAGCAGTGGCAGGAGTCACCTCTGAGGCCCAGTGCCAGTGCCCAGGACAGGCAGCAGAGGAGGGACCTTGCAGGGGTGTCACCCCCACGAGTCTGTCCCTGCAGTGTCCCCTGGGGAAAAGGGGGCCTTGTCCCTCTGTCTCCAGGGAAGGGTGGGGCCCTCCTAGTACTCTGAGGAAGGGACCCAAAGCAACTTTACACACAAGCAAACCCTGCCAGTGGCAGAAACACTCGTGGCTGGGCCACTCCCTGTGGGGTGGCTGGGAGCAGGCACCCGAGCCTCTCCCCCACGAGCCTGCAGTAGGCTAGCTGCCTGGGGGAAGAGGGAATATGGTGGGGGGTCCCTGACCTGGGTGTTGGACCCACGAGCTGTCTCTGGGTGGCCTGTGCATTTCTCAGCAACAGGAGGCTCGGAGGTGGCCCTCGGAGCCCTGCTTCAGAGAGTAAAAGATGGGGGCCACAGTCTCCCACAAGCAGGGTGCCGGGGAGCACCAGGGCTGCTGCATACCTTCCCTGGGTGCCCTGATCCTTGTGCCAGCCCCACAGTGACTCCACAGTGACCCCTCTCTACGTAGGACCCGAGGCCAAAGGCCCCCAGGACAGTGATGCTGGACCTGTGCTGCTGTCTCACAGCAAGGCCCAGGATGGGTTCCCTGCGAGTCCTTCTTTGGCCACCCTGTCCCTACCCTGGCTGAGCATGGGTGCCCTCTGCAAGTGTCCAGACTGCAGGCAGAGAGCACTCCTGGAGGCAGCTGTGGCTACAAGCAGTGGGAGAGGCCACCTGCCAGGCATCAGGCGGCATCCCGGGCCCTGGCTGCTGAAGGAGCCCTGCACGGTGTCCTCTGGTTTTTACCAATACAGCAGCAGTGAGACAACAGCTGCGGCCCTGGGGAGGGGCCATCTGGTGGCATCACTGGGCAGTGTGCCTGGCCTCTGGCAGCTGTGCAGTGAGGCAGGGTCTCCATGACCCCCACATCCCCTGAAGCAGCCCCAGGTGAACTGCTGAGCCCAGCAGGTTGAGAGGAGACACATGCAGATCGGCCTCAGGATGTGAACCCTATGCTGCCCCAGCCACCTGTCCAGCATCCTCTCACGGTGACACCACCCCAGGCCAGCTGTGGCCTGACTCACTGAGCATCTGCAGCTCTCCCATCACCTGCCAACCAGGTTTTCAGCCACTGTGCATCACCATTCTTTCAGCCACTTCCAGGACATCTCGTGTTGGGGTAAGGGTCACTGAGGGTTAGGTGGCCTGGGCTTCCCAGTGTCCAGGCTGTCCCATGAAGATTCCCCCCCATTCTTGATGGCCGAAGCCATAGGAACTGCCCCTTGGAGGTGCCCAGAGACCACACCTCTCCCTGTTCATGCCTCAGGCCGAGCACAGTGCATAGAGGGACCCAGGCACCCGAGGCATAGGTATTGTAGCCACTACTGGTGTCACAGGTGGCCAGGAAGTCGGAGAGGAGGGAGGCACCAGACACAGCCCGTGTGAGCTCCAGGCTCTCTGGACATTCCCACATTTCTCCATGCTTGGTCTTGTGAGTCCTCACCAGTTCTGGCCTCTGTCTCCTGTCTATCTGGAGTGCAACTCCTCTGAACACATCCCAGCAGCACAGAGCCCCAGGGCTCATGGGAAAAGCCAGCTCAGGCTAGCGAGGACAGGGCGAGCCCAGGCCAATGCAAAGCTAGTAACTCAGGGCGAGTCCGGGCTGTGAGGAGCTGAGCCTGGGCTGGCAGGCGACGTGTGCCCACCTCTTGGGGTTTTCTGAAGCTCCTGGCCTCAATTCCACTTGCTCTGCCCGCCATTCTGTGGCCCTGTGGCAAGGCAACTCAGACCACCCAACCCCTGGCCCTCAGTGTGAGTGGGGACACTGAGGCAAGACAGGAGCTGCCTCAGCTACTCTCTCCTAATACTTGTGTCTCTGTCGAGCCCGGATACAGAGTGCCTCTTGTGTGGGCTTGGGCCAGGGCACTGTGTGCTCCCCAGCCCCTACCCGGGGCAACGGGCTGCAGGGGAAGACCCTGGACTCGAGCCTCCAGCAGGAAGACTCAGCAAAGGCTGTGCTGGCCTCCTTGGGCTGTGCCAGGAGTCGGGACCGGCCGCAGGGCAGAGGTTGCAGCACTGTGGCCCCCAGGCCCAGCTCACCAGCCTGGTGACTAGAGTCGGCTCACTGGTGAAGAGCAGGCAGGTAACAACAAGGTCACCCTTGTCCCTTTGTCCATGTCACTTGCCCTCTTTAAAAGACAGGGAGAGTGGGACCACCTCCACCCCAAGCATTTTTGTTTTGCTGAACACTGGTCTCAGGAGCCGCTGGCTTAGCACCTTCTCTGGGGCCAGGAGCCGGCCTGGCCAGTGGTATGGCAGGGCAGTGAGTGGCCCCTGCATGGTTCTCTACCCAGCAGTGCCCAGCCACCCATGAGGGCCTGTAAGCAAGGGCATACAAGCTCCTGGGTATATGACTGTCTTCCCAGACAGCCCAGGCCATGGTGCCCACGGAAGCAGGACAGCCCCAGGTGGTTTGGGGCTTGCAGCTGTCTTACCACTGGGTCACTTATTCAGGAATCCTGCCTGCAGATCAGTGGGGTATAGCCCATCCCTCCCCCTCCTTACCATTCCTGCCACAGACATACACTGAGTTCCTACTGGCCCGCGTGCTTGCCCAGGGCCCAGGGTAGGGCCATGAGCAGGACCTGTGCAGGCGCCTCAGTCACTCAGTGTGTGACTTTGGATAGGTCCTCAAGCCTGGCCACAGGAGTTGGTGGGTGCCACCTACAGGGTGCTAGGACTCCAAAGAAGGCCCAGGAGGTCACAGGGAACTGAAGTGCTCTGGTGATGAGTCCTGGTTCATAGGACTTGGTTCCTCGGGAGGGGTGACTCCACGTGGCCTCCCTGTGCTGGCTGCTGCACCCCCCAGCCTGAGAGCCAGTGCCTATGCTGCTTGCCAGGCTCTCCTGGCCCAGGGCATCCTCCAGTGAGGGTTTCCCTGCCTACTAGCTCCAGGCCCATGAGGTCGATGCTCCCGTAGCACAGACCCCTCTGTCCAGTGTCCAGGGCCCACCCCTGCCTGGGTCAGAGGGGGATGGAGGCAGCTGGGCTTACCTTGTCATCCATGCCACTCTCGCTGTCACACTGTGGGGACAGAGAGAAAAGGAAGTGAGTCAGGGCCCTCCACGCCCCAAAGCACAGGTGGCAAGCTACAGGGTGGGGTGGGCTGAGGGATAGCAGTTGGGGCCAAGGCTGGATGGGGGGGCACAACTAGGCCAACTCCCTGGAGTGGACAAGACCCTAAGCCCAGGGCAGCTTTACAGGAGGGAGGCAGAGACAGTGAGAGAGAAAGCACCCCAGCTGCTAGCACCACACAGAGCAGAAGGCCACACTGGTGGGACTGAGGCACAGAGCTGGCCTGGAGCAGCCCAGGTTGCCTCTCATGCCATGGTTCTGTGGCCCTGCAATGCTGGGGAGAGCTCTGAGCAGAGGCCCAGCCACATGCGGGGCCCTGGTTTAGTGTAGTGGTTGCAACAGCTATTTCGTACCCTGGCGGATAGATGGCCCAGGGGAGAGGAACAGGGCAGGCCACCTGGCTTGTGACCTGGTAGACAGCTGCTACCACACAGCCCTGAGAGCCCATGTTTCCTCTCCTGGCCTGCAGCCTGGGGACGTAATGGGGGCTGTGGCACCCAGCTCCTCCAGGAGGAGGGTGAGGACCCGCCTGACCCGCGTGCAGAGTGCTCAGGAGGAACCAGGGCTGGTGGTCAGCCTCAACACAAGGTCACGACAGTCAAGGAAGCAAATCTCGGTCTTTCAGTTTTACTAAGCTGAGCTCTGAAAGGACGCACAGCTTAAGAAACAATGCAGTTTCTCCTAAATGAATCCAGGGGAGACCTCTCCCTAGCAATGGTGATGACGTGTTCCGGCGGGGGAGCTATACTGCAGGAAGAGATCTCTCCCGGATGCCTGGGAGGGTGATGGGCCCCAGCCAGATGCGGGCCAGGCGGGTGTTGTAGGTTGTGCCATTTTGATTAACATGGGTGACCAAATCACACTGCCTTCTACCAGGCCCCAGGCTGATGGCTGTAACGGTCTCAATGGCAAAGCTCACAGAGGAGATAACATGGCTTCACCAGCGCTCGAATGGTCTGCTGGGGTGAGCGTGCGGGCCTTCTATGGTCAGCAGGCTTCGTACCACACCTGACAGACCATCTGTGCCGTGGGCCTGGTCTGTCCCAGGGTGAAGTCCCGGCTCATGGCTTGGGAAAGCCGCACCCAGCCCCGTCCTGGCCTCCCAGTGAGAGGTGACAGGAAGTGCTGTCCCACGTGCCCTGCCTGGCAGGCTGTGTCTTCTCCACCCAGGTGTGCCGCTCTCTGAGGCTGGGTGCTCTCTCTTGAGGTAGGTGGCACCTGGCATGGGGCGCATGGGCAAGAAGGAAGGTCCCCCAGCCAGCCGCTGGGAGGACAAGGCCCTGGGGTGGGGAGGGGCTGCAAGACACCTGAGCTTGTGAGGGAAGAAGGGAGCTAAGGCAGTGAGGGGACAAGGAGGCTGGGCAGGTGTGGGTATGGGAGCTGTGGGTATCTGTGTGTGTGCGTGGGCACATGGGAGCAGTTCAGGTGCTGCGACTCGCCTGGGGAGGGCACTCTGTCACTGCAAGGGCCCATGGAAGAGCAGGCTGTGGCCTGTGGGAGGGAGGCGGCAAGCACCCAGAGTACACGTGGGGATGGGCAGGGTGCTCCTGCAGCTGGGGCCTCATCCCACTTATCAACACTGGCATCCCTCACACTGGCAAGGTGGGAAAGCGGCCTCCCACGTGGCTGTCTGTCCCTGAAGGCCACTGGCCACCTGCTGGGCCTGTCCTCAGCTGTGGCCCTAGGACTCCCAGGCTGGTGAACACAGTTCACACAGACCTGTACCCAGCTGGTTAAAAACTCCTGCAGCCCCGGGTTCCAGACTGACCCGGTAGGGCTGGGCAGTGAGGCCTGAGGATGGCAGTTTGATGTGTCCACTGTCAAGCAATAAGGGTCTCTGGCGGGCCCGGGAGGATGACTTCCCGGACCCTGTCATTACCACATGACAGGCCACGATCAGTGCCATGGCAAGGACTGTCAACGAATTCCAGCTGAGTCCAGTCCTGTAGGGTTAGGGCTTAACTGCAGTGGAGCTAGAACTGAGTGGGTGATTAATCAGAACAAAGAAGGAATAGAGGGAATCTGTCTTTTGGGAGCTGCTCGAGTGAGATGACCTTTCTGCAGCCTTAATGTGGGCATGGACAGTCCTCACGCCTGAGGAGAGAGGGCACAGATGGCCAGGGCCAGGATGCAGGCTGCAGAGTAGACCCCACTTTGAGGTTGTGCTCCTAAGCTGTGCACCTTGGAAAAGTCTCCTGACTCCTAGTGCCTCAGTTTATGCTTCTGGAAAAGAGACAACAGTCTCTTTACAGGGCTGTCACACAGTGCAAGTCAGTGAACATATGCAAACTCTACAATAGTGCTGGGTGTGCAGTACAGGACACATGTGGGATGGTATCATCAGCTCACCGCCATCGTCACTGCCACCATCACCACCACATCACCATCACCACCATTACACCAAGAGACTAAAGAGCTGGCATGGCAATTAGGCAGCTGCAGAAACTTTTTCTTCTCAGCATGAACGTTAATTACTGCTTACTGCTCCTCTGTGTGCTTGTGCTTACCAGAGGCTGCCTGCCTCCCACAGCTCAGACAAAGGCACTTGAATTCATGAGCTTGATACCAAGGTCAGCCACCTGCTTGCAAGTACTATAACTCACCACCAGATAGCCTGCAGGGTCACTGCCCAGCCCCAGAGCCACCACACATGGGTCCTCTGTGTGGGTGGGGCAGAGAGGCCCTGCTAGTGGTGTGGCAGCCCCAGGTCTTACCCGAGCCTCTTCGCTGGCCTAAAGAACTCCAATGACACTAACATCTCTGAGGCCTCAGCTGCACACGACATGTGACAAAGCACTGGGAACACTTGGCATTGCAGGACCCGTGGCCATGGCAAGCATGGGAGGGTCAGCCCTGGCCAGGAGGGGGCAGCAGGGCCAAGCTGCAGGACATTTGGTGCCTGGCACACCAGCCTAGGGGTGCACATGTGGAGGCCATCTGCTACTGGGGTTTGTCCAGGTCTTGGGTCCTTGGTGTGCGGCCACAGGACTGTGCTAGGGACACAGTACACGTGGTGTGGTGACTCAGCACTGGACCACATGTCCTGGGCCTCCAGCTTCCAAATGGGCCTGATGGGAGCACCCTTGGGAAGTATGGGGCCAGGGAGTGGATGAGGGTTGCCTGCCCTAGATCTCTCTTCGTTCCCATCTTACCTTTGAGCCCCCTGCTCAATGGTGGGGGTGGGGGCCTTCTACTGAGCCATTCTGTGGAACACCGTACTGGCTGCCAGTGTGGGGCACCTGGCCTGGGAGAAGCTGATGCTCCCGTGACAACCAGGCATGTGACAGTCTATCGTGGTATCCACTGAAGCTGCGTCTACCCTGAATACCTCACTCAGTCTTCTGAATTAGCCATTTTGCGTCCTTGTCCTTAAAGGTCAGATGTTCATGAAGTGATGTCCCACAGGGGGCCAGTGGTACCAACAGTGGCCACCCCAATGCTGTGTGGTGGCCCAGGGAGGGGGTGGCCTGCTGCTGCCCTGGAGGCTTCCCTGCCTCATCCTCCCCCAGGGAGTGGTTGTCCGGGACAGGGCCCAGTGGATCCAAATATTCATATGCTGCTGGGGTCAGGCTCTGCCTGTGGCACTAAGGGGGCTACGGGCTGGGGATAGGCAGCAAAGAAGATGGCACCAGTCAGGGCAGGGAGGGGCTGCAACCCAGATTGGGGAAGAAGCCTCTTGGCTGGGCTAGCCTTCGACAACACTGGACACCCAGGGCTCCAGGCCTCTACATGGCCGATCCCAACAGGAACCCTGACCATGCACCTGGGCAGGGACCCCAACAGTGTGGGAGGTCAGGGACGTGGTGAATGGGGCATGTGGTTGCAAGGAAGGGACAGGAGAGGAGACTGGGGAGGGAGGGCATGCAGCTGGGACAAAGGGGGCATCCAGCAGGGCCAGAAGAACACAGGTGTGAGACAGCTGCCACCCAAGTAGAATGGAATGGCTCTGCAGGACCACACAGGCCCAAGCTGATGGGCCAGGAGGGGACAAGGCCAACCATGGCTCACTGGTGCCCTATATATGGGCATGAATAAAAACAGAGACAGGGGCTTGGGGTTTAGCTCAGTGGCATAAGCGCCTGCCTTGCAAGCAGGCAGTTGTGAGTTTGATCCCTGGTACCGATAAAAACGAAAAAGACAAAAAATAAAAAATAAATAAAAACAGAGACATGGACAGAGCTCTGCATGTGGTAGTGGGGACTGCAGTCCATGGAGACAGGTGGGGTGCACCTGCCCTCCCCCAGGAGTGTCCCTTGGTTACTTGAGGCCTCTGTGCCTCACCCAGGGTGAGGGCCTTCATGTAGCCACTTAGGAACACTGAATGGGCAGGCCCAGGAGGGGGCAGAGGCCAGGCGCCTCACCGTGGCATAAGGTGGGCGCCATGTGCCCACAGGCCTCATTGCATGCCCAGTTAGTTACTGATGGGGAAACTGAGGCACAAAGGCAGCGCTCTTAGGGTGGCTGAGTGGAGAGGTCCCCGCTCCGCCACACCTGATTAATTATTTCTGGTAACTGCCTGCAAATCTCTCTTCTTTACTCGGCTACTTCCTGCTTAATGAGTGTTTAGGCTTTAAAGTAAAACAAAGCACTAATTACCCAGTTAACAGGCAATTAAATTACTATATCCCAACCACTGTGGGCAAACCAATGGAGAAACCCGTGCCCCTCAAACTCAGGACCCCAGGCTGAGCCCCATCGCGGGAGGTGCCATGCAGGACAGCTGACCGAGCTGCTGTCCCTGGCCCTCTGCCGCCCTAGTGGGCCCCAGCAGCCACCTGCCTGGAGCCTGAATCAATAGCACTGGGCAACCCAATTCCAGTCCGGAATGTGATACAACACTCAGAGAACTACAGGGTGAGGGAGCCCACCAAGAGAACCGGGAGCCAGGATGTGTCTGAGGGTGTCCGGCTGTGGCAGACTGGGGGACAGGGACAGTCTTACCCACAGTG